TATATATATATATATATATATATATATATATATATATATATATATATATATATATATATATATATATATATTTATTTACTTATTTATTTATTTATTTTTTATTTTTTTTTAATCGCAGAAGGGCAAATAATTTAGCATTCATCTGTAGACGTGTGTCATTTATAAAAATAAATTATACAGATACAGATTTATATATATATATATTTGTTATATATATTGTTGTTCATTCATTCATTTTCCTTCAGCTTAGTCCATTTATTCATCAGGAGTCGCCACAACGGAATGAACCGCCAACTATTCCAGCATATGTTTTTCAAAGGAGATGCCCTTCCAGCTGCAACCCAGTACATAAAAACACCCATACACACTCATTCACACACACACACACACACTCATACACTATTTCCAGTTTAGTTGATCAGTTCCCCTATAGCACATGTGTATGGACTGTGGAGGAAACAGGAGCACCCAGAGGAAACCCACGCCAACACGGGGAGAACATGCAAACTCCACACAGAAATGCCTACATGGCCCAGTTGGGACTCAAACCAGTGACCTTCTTGATATGAGGCAACAGGGTTAACCATTGAGCCACCATGCCAGCTCATATATATTATTATATTGTTTATTCATTCATTCTCCTTCAGTTTAGTCTCTCTATTCATCAGGGGTCGCCACAGTGGAATGAACTGCCAACTATTCCAGCATATGTTTTACACAGCAGATGCCCTTCCAGCTGCAACCCAGTACTGGGAAACTATCTTATATATATATATATATATATTAGTTTCGAGTGAATATTAATATCTGGTATCTATATTAAGAGGTGGATATCTGTTAACATTGGCTGTTTTTGTGTGTGATAATATGAGCAGTGTGTGTGTGTGTGTGTGTGTGTGTGTGTGTGTGTGTGTGTGTGTGTGTGTGTGTAAGTGATATTGAGGTCAGATTAAAGCTCAACAACAACACAGGAACAAAAACAGCAAGACAAAGCCTGCAGGATCACCACCAGCATCTCAGTCATACACACATTAGCGTTATAATAAACACGACTTTATATTTAAAGACACGAACAAGATCAATTTACGCTTTTGTCTATTACCAGCCATGATAAATAACAATAACAACAACACAATAAATATTGTAAATAAAAAGCAGTGAGGGTGTTTTATAGGAAATGTGATGTGATGCTATATTATAATGTGACTCTTCAGTAATAATGTGGACGCGTTTCCTTTAAAGTCTGCATAATGAGCGACTATCAGCTGACTGTCAGAGATCAGACAACAACAGCAGAAAACTGAGAGAATCACCAGAGGAAAACATGCTTACCTGCAGCTCATATTCACCTCAGAGGAGTCAAACTGATGACAAATAATGAGAATGAAAGGAAATGAGGGAAATAAATAAGGCGGCGCTACTGTAACCTCACATCCATCAAGACTCGCGACGGCACCCGCGTTAATATATGGCGGAATATCCTGTCGAGGACAACAAGACTGAACGGCTTTAAACGCGTCTTTAGGTTGATATTTTAGTAAATATTTAGATTAATATGACTGCTGAAGCGCCGAAGAGCGAAACTCCGCCGCCGCCATGACGGATCACCTCAGCAGCTCGGGCGCGCTCTCAATCCCTGCGCGTGCACTGCACAGAGAGCACGGGAGTATGGGGTTACATTTACGACAAAATTCTGTACGCTAAAAATCATGTTTTGAGCAACAGGCCATTTTGAGTGTACTCAAAACATGATCTTTAGAGCGCAGAATTGTTAACGCACCTTAAACAAGCACTTTTGTGCACTCAGAAACATAATCTTTTGAGTGCAGAATTGTTAACACGCATCCAATAAGTCCTGTCAGAACATGATCTTTAGCACATATAATTATTAATGCGCATAAAACAAGGCATTTTGTGCACTTAAAACATGATCTTTTGCATGCAGAATTGTTATTTATCGTGCATTAAGCCATTTTGCGTGCTTAAAACATGATATTTTGTTTACATATTTGTCAATGCACATAAAATAAGGCATTTTGCACACGTAAAGCATGATCTTTTGCTTGTAGAATTTTTAACGCGCATGCAACAACTCTATATGCAAACACTAAACATTGTCTTTGCTCACAGAATTTTTTTACATGCATGCAATAATCCATTTTGAGAGCTCTTTTGCACACGGAATTGTTAATTCTTGCATTTCACATGCTCGAAACATGAGCTTTTGTTCACAGAATTTTGTCACGAATGTTACCCCATATACTGCACTCTCTATCAGTGTTGCGCACTAGTGAGGGCACTCAGGAAGAGTTGAACAGAGCCGCGCTCACCGGACAGGTGGAGCTGAAACCTGAAGCAGATAAAACAGGACAGAAGGGTGGAGATCCACACACACACACACACACTGTCAAAATAATAAATAGTACAGCAAAAATAAACAACAAAGCAGCGAAACAGAAGAAATATCCTCCAGATGTGTTGCAAAACTATTGATTATTTCAAGACTTGTTAGTGTCGGAGCTCTAACTCAGACTGGTTGCGTCAGAAGCTGAAATGCAGGATCCTATAGGTCAAAGGTCAAAGTGTGACTCCAGTCATCTCACTGATGATGTCATGATGATGGACACGTGACATTTACTGACAGCTGATTTCCTCATTTAAAATCAATACATTAATAAGTAAATAAATCCAATTAATGAGTGAAATTTAAAAAAATTCTCTGTTCTCATTTTATTTTTTGATTTAATGAATTTATTATTACACATGGATATGAGGAAAATGGTTGCTTATTTATAAATATAGCTTATGTTATACTCTTTAAGTGTTTTTTTTTAATATAATGGTCTGATAACAGTTCTTTCTTTTTTTCTGATAATAAAAAATAATTATCTCACACAAATTTCCATTTAGAGTATTTTATTTATTCATTCATAAAATTGTGATTGAAATTGAGAATTATTACACCAAATATTGATGCATTTATGTTAATTTTGTGCTGTCTGCAAGTGTATTAAACGGCGTCAGAAAAAAAGTGTCACTTCAGTTAATATTTTATGGAAAAAATAACTAAACTCCAGCGCTTTTATTTTATATTTGGAAGAAATCATGTCATTAGCAGTCAACAAAATAAAAGACAAATGACATGTTACTTCAACACATAATAATATTGTCATTTAGATAAATTTTAATATTATTTTTGTGCACAAAAAAGTGCCAAAACAATACTAATGTTTTAACTTTCTAATGTAATAACCCTGATTTTCAATCATAACAAATAAAAAATGCTAATCTGATCATCTGACATTTCTGACACCTGACACCGACAAAGCACTTGAGTACTTTACTTTATTGTTTTACTTTATCTTTACACTTATTTTTTTGTTGTCAGTGCACTTTTATTATGTGTTTTCTAATTCCTGTTGTTACTAACACTCGCAAAACACGGGAGGTACGCTGCAGGCGTAATCCTCACAACCTTCGTTCAATACATGTATCTACTATTTCACAACTCTCTCTCTCCGTGGGCCTCTGGAATTGTCAATCAGCTGTTAACAAGGCTGATTTTATTACCTCCATAGCTACATATTCTGACTATAATCTCATGGCTCTAACTGAGACCTGGTTGAGGCCGGAGGACACTGCTACACATGCTACTCTTTCTGCTAATTTCTCTTTTTCCCACACTCCTCGTCAGACAGGGAGAGGGGGTGGGACTGGACTACTAATTTCCAAAGAATGGAAATTTACTCTGATACCGTCCCTGCCAACAATCAGCTCCTTTGAATTCCATGCAGTCACCATTATCCACCCCTTCTACATAAATGTGGTTGTCATCTACCGCCCACCAGGTAAATTAGGTCACTTCCTAGATGAACTGGATGTTCTTCTCTCATCTTTTTCTAATTTTGCCACTCCCTTATTGGTGCTAGGTGACTTCAACATTTACGTTGACAAACCGCAAGCTGCAGACTTTCAGACTCTGCTTGCCTCTTTTGACCTAAAAAGAGCACCTACTTCTGCTACCCACAAATCAGGT